AGAGCAAACATGGCATTTTGTCAACCAATTAGAAGCCGACATCAAGCCTCATATGACTTGGCTTCAGCGCGCCTTCTAGCACCTACCGCGTTTGGTCCGGTTGCACGTCTCCGCTTCTTGTTCATTACGTCATTATTTATGTTAGCTGTGATTATTATATCATGTCTTGTTCGCCCCTTCATTTATACGTGATGCAATGGCTACCATAATGGCTGGCATTCCGCTGAGTCCAATTTTCCCGCCATATTATCTTGTCGTGCGAGAACCAACCTCGTTCCCAGGGCTTTCCCCGGGAACGAGGTTGGCGCGAGAACCTAATTCCCATGAATTCACTGCTTCAAATTACAAACGTGATTACTGAACAAGTTTAGCTACATTTCTGACGTTTGAGTAAACGTGTCCCATTGTTTGTGAAAATAAAAATTATACTTACGTTATGTCTAATCCATTTTTTAGTCAGTTCACTTGCTTGATTTATAAAGAATTTTTTGGAAATCATTACACATTCGGCTCCTCGACTGACCTGTCAAAAAAAAAATAACTGAAGATGACAAGGTTGTACAACAAATACAAAAAAGATGGTCACTTTTTGTGCTCATAATATTTAGCACTGCTGTGCTAAGAGGGTCTCAGTGGGGGTTAGTCATAAATCGGGCCAAAACCTTAGACGTTAGGTGTAAAAATGGGAAATTTTTAACCATTGGCCGTAAAAAAATATTAACCGTAAAAAAATGTTAGCCGAGAATGTGAAAATCTCAAGATCGTCTTGTCAAGACTTCTCTGTGTCTTGTATTGTGACTTGCAAGCTATAATAGTCTACGGTTATTATAAGAACACCTTTTTCCGTCCTGGAATGACAGTAACACCATTCCATTAACAATAAAACTTAATTTTTGACTTTTTAAGACAATGGTGATTAATTTTTAAGATTTCTGTTCATGGTCAGCCAAAATTTTAACCGTTACTATAAATCGAGAAACAGATTAGAACTGAAAACTTGTTGAAATCCCAACTTATCGGAGACTATTTAAAAGACCAGGAGGGTTTGAACCCAGGACCTCCAGATCACAAGTCCAGCACCGTAACCACCGAGTCACGCCGCGCCCTTGGCACCTAATAAGTGGTGTACAACACGTACTCACCAGGCTAACGCTGGCTTGCTGGAGAAGTTGAAAATCATCATCGAAATTTAGGAGGGTAGACAGACCCTGAAAAATACCGTAAGCGAAATAAAGATATCAGGAAAACCACTCGCAGGCTTTTCTTAAAATTATATATACAGAAGTCAAGATGTCCTAGCTTTTTGAAGAAAACACTTATAACTGAACTGAACAGAAGATTTAGTATTAATATATACTAAACTCGTTCAAATACCTTAATTCGAGAAAATTATGGGGTTACTTATAGTAATACCACTAGTAACACTTTATTTATTTAGCGCTATTTCTATCGCTATCTATCAAAATAAAAACTAGGAATATTAAGAACTAGGAAGTAGTTATTTTAAAGGGCCGTTAATTAAAATACTTCGAACAGACGCACCTTTTGACTGTATCATTTTCATTTATTAGGCACTACATGAAACTGACAAGAAGACTCTCTCTTTTGGAGATTTATTCATATTACGGACCGGTCATGAAAGCATGGGAAAGGGCTACCTTTTTTCACTCAATAAAGGCATACGAAAGGGTTACCTTTTCTGTCAAAATGGCATACAAAGGGTAAGGAGTTGGACTTCGGGGTGGAGGGCCCCCCCCCCGTATAGAACTTTGTGGAGTATCCCAATTCCGGGGGGTTACATCTCGTTAAATATACTCACGAAAACACTTCTGGGGTGAAGTAGACCCAGCTGTACAAATGCTGTTTGTTTTCTGGACTGAAGGTGAGAGTTTGACTGTACTTCAGTGATAGGAAACTGTTGAAATCAACAACCAAAAAAATTAAAAATTTCAGTTACATTTCAGTAATAAGGACTGTATCAAACATTGTTTGCGAAAACTCATGTTATGTTTCCTGAAACATGTCTATAAGTCTGGATTTATGAAAACAGGGTTAAAGGAAACTCCACGCAGGTGTAGGCGTTACAGTAAAACGATATAAAACTTCAAAGGAATGTCAGTGTTTTTCTCTTCTCTTAACTCTTTCTTTTTGCACTTTTCTCTCTCCTGTTTATTATTTTGTTTTTCTTCGGTTGGAGTGATTTTTGGACCTTCAGGAGTCGTAAAATCTATGTGTGTNGCCCCTTCATTTATACGTGATGCAATGGCTACCATAATGGCTGGCATTCCGCTGAGTCCAATTTTCCCGCCATATTATCTTGTCGTGCGAGAACCAACCTCGTTCCCAGGGCTTTCCCCGGGAACGAGGTTGGCGCGAGAACCTAATTCCCATGAATTCACTGCTTCAAATTACAAACGTGATTACTGAACAAGTTTAGCTACATTTCTGACGTTTGAGTAAACGTGTCCCATTGTTTGTGAAAATAAAAATTATACTTACGTTATGTCTAATCCATTTTTTAGTCAGTTCACTTGCTTGATTTATAAAGAATTTTTTGGAAATCATTACACATTCGGCTCCTCGACTGACCTGTCAAAAAAAAAATAACTGAAGATGACAAGGTTGTACAACAAATACAAAAAAGATGGTCACTTTTTGTGCTCATAATATTTAGCACTGCTGTGCTAAGAGGGTCTCAGTGGGGGTTAGTCATAAATCGGGCCAAAACCTTAGACGTTAGGTGTAAAAATGGGAAATTTTTAACCATTGGCCGTAAAAAAATATTAACCGTAAAAAAATGTTAGCCGAGAATGTGAAAATCTCAAGATCGTCTTGTCAAGACTTCTCTGTGTCTTGTATTGTGACTTGCAAGCTATAATAGTCTACGGTTATTATAAGAACACCTTTTTCCGTCCTGGAATGACAGTAACACCATTCCATTAACAATAAAACTTAATTTTTGACTTTTTAAGACAATGGTGATTAATTTTTAAGATTTCTGTTCATGGTCAGCCAAAATTTTAACCGTTACTATAAATCGAGAAACAGATTAGAACTGAAAACTTGTTGAAATCCCAACTTATCGGAGACTATTTAAAAGACCAGGAGGGTTTGAACCCAGGACCTCCAGATCACAAGTCCAGCACCGTAACCACCGAGTCACGCCGCGCCCTTGGCACCTAATAAGTGGTGTACAACACGTACTCACCAGGCTAACGCTGGCTTGCTGGAGAAGTTGAAAATCATCATCGAAATTTAGGAGGGTAGACAGACCCTGAAAAATACCGTAAGCGAAATAAAGATATCAGGAAAACCACTCGCAGGCTTTTCTTAAAATTATATATACAGAAGTCAAGATGTCCTAGCTTTTTGAAGAAAACACTTATAACTGAACTGAACAGAAGATTTAGTATTAATATATACTAAACTCGTTCAAATACCTTAATTCGAGAAAATTATGGGGTTAATTATAGTAATACCACTAGTAACGCTTTATTTATATAACGCTATTTCTATCGCTATCTATCAAAATAAAAACTAGGAATATTAAGAACTAGGAAACAGTTATTTTAAAGGGCCGTTAATTAAAATACTTCGAACAGACGCACCTTTTGACTGTATCATTTCATTTATTAGGCACTACAGGAAACTGACAAGAAGACTCTCTCTTTTGGAGATTTATTCATATTACGGGCCGGTCATGAAAGCATGTCAAAGGGCTACCTTTTTCACTCAATAAAGGCATACGAAAGGGTTACCTTTTCTGTCAAAATGGCATACAAAGGGTAAGGGGTTGGACTTCGGGGTGGAGGCCCCCCCCTATAGAACTTTGTGGAGTATCCCAATCCCGGGGGGTTACATCTCGTTAAATATACTCACGAAAACACTTCTGGGGTGCAGTAGACCCAGCTGTACAAATGCTGTTTGTTTTCTGGACTGAAGGTGAGAGTTTGTCGGTACTTCAGTGATAGGAAACTGTTGAAATCAACAACCAAAAAAATTAACTACATTTCAGTTACATTTCAGTAGTAAGGACTGTATCAAACATTGTTTGCGAAAACTCATGTTATGTTTCCTGAAACATGTCTATAAGTCTGGATTTATGAAAACAGGGTTAAAGGAAACTCCACGCAGGTGTAGGCGTTACAGTAAAACGATATAAAACTTCAAAGGAATGTCAGTGTTTTTCTCTTCTCTTAACTCTTTCTTTTTGCACTTTTCTCTCTCCTGTTTATTATTTTGTTTTTCTTCGGTTGGAGTGATTTTTGGACCTTCAGGAGTCGTAAAATCTATGTGTGTAGCTCACTTAGTGCTAAAAAACGCACTTTTCTTTGACCACGTCTTCATAAATGCAGTCATATAGACGTATGTGCATCATGGAAATTGGTTGAATTGTAAGAGTGATCCAATAAACGTCAGTTCAGTTACAGGCGAAGAGCCTAAATGTTCTGTAAAAGTTCAAACTTTTTGGACTTAGCCTTTCGCTAGTGGAAGTCAAGAGTGTCAAAAGTCAATGTGAACACCTTCCTAAGACTGAACCAATGTCTTACCACGGGCGGAAGAGATTTCGTTCTTTTTTTCTCAGTTGAATATGATCCTGATAATAATAAAAAAAGAATCATGTGGTTAGTTAGGTTACAACCCCACGATAAGAATTTCAATTCTCCTAACGGACTGCTATACACTTGTTTAAAATTACTATTGAGAATTTGTTGATTTATCATGATCTGGACACGATTCTTCTGTGCAATGATCCCCTTGCGTATTTTCAACACCAGTCAACTTTACATTGTATTAATACGAGGACTGAGAAAATGTCTTTTGATCACCATTGAGTAAACTCACCTGTAGTCAGTTGTGTACTGCTTCTCCTTGTCGGCAGACACCTTAATTTGGAAGCGGGATAACTAGATTTTCTGTGACGGTCATCAGTCAGGTTTGCCAGTTTATCGGCTGTTGATAATTCTCCCTTGTTGGGAGGCTTCCTAGATAACCTCGGCTTGGTTATTTCAAGGCTTAGAAGGACTTGGCAAACCCCCTTAAAAAAAAGTTACAACAGTTTCCTTTTCTTACGTTAAAATTTCTTAATCATCTGGCTCTTTTCTCGGTTCAATTGCGCACATAGCTCGGGCGTCTATTTCTGCCTTCCATTTCTGCTAATCTCGCGCCGCTCTTTTAGCTTCGCATCAGACCATGCCGGTCTCATTTGAGTGGGTCTTGGTGTTTCCGTGACTTGCTGTANACCTGAAGTAATTAAAGAGACAATTTTCCGGGTGGGCAAGTAACAGGTCAACAGGCCAATCAGCGAGAAAGTCCAAACTCCTGATAAAAAAGCCAAATTATAAATAATTAATACAAATAGATTAATACAAATATATAATAATTATACAAATAGATATTAGTGAAGGGCAATTAAAGTTTCTATTTAAAACTAAACCAGAACTGCACTTGAAAGGAGCAGGCCAAACGTTTACTCCTGGTCTTACGGGATATCTTCTTGTTTCCGCATCTTGTTCGTCAAACGAAAGTGAAAGAGGAAGTGCTCTGGCGTACCCTTAGGTAACTTGCGATGATAGCATCAAGTTCAGAGGAGAACTGGGTTCAAGTCACGTGACATGACATGCCCCAGAAAGTACAAAGTCTGGAAATTATAGGATGAGCGCAATTCCATTTTTTGTTACCTCAATCTCGCTGTGCATTCGACGATGGACGAGTATTACTTAAGACGGATTCCGCTCAAAGTTCGAGCAATAAGTGCAAAAATTATTCACTAAAAATCTACTCATAGCACGGTAACGTTTCGAATACAATTGAAAACAACTCACTTTAGTTCATTTCTCTGAGTGACCCCGCGATTAAATTCTCAAGCATTCTCAAGAAAGTTAATGTCAAACCTCGTAAGAATGCTTCAAGCGTGTGTTCTTGTGTTTTTAACTAACGCGAAACCTCAATTTTAATTGAAATATGGATAACTTCAAGTTCAATTTTCTCTCGCCGGGTCAGCTTGAGAGCTTAAGTCTCGATAGGTTCTCCTTATTCAAAATATTACCATGCCATGAGGTTTGTTTGGAAGGTTAATTTTTGCCATCATTGCTCGAATGTTCTGCGGAAATCATCTTAATTTTTTTTCTTATACAACGCAGAGACCAAGAAAATTGCGACCTTACCTACAAAATTTTAGATGTGCTGGTTCCTCTCCCGTCTTGGTCTGGCCCATGAAAATTCTCTGATAATCCTAAAACGAAGGAAGGAAACTTTTCTAGCGAGGACGTTTGTCATTTTTAATTTTTAGAGATTCGATGCCATGCTTACCTCCTTTCCTATCACTAGTAGTTGAACAGTATCGTTGCTGACAACAGATGCCGTCCTGCGGCAGTTTTTCAGAATGGCAGTTTCCTATGAGAAAAGGTAAACGAGTTTTAGTCATTCAAGTGAATTAAAAGGAGTATCCTTTTATCCCGTTATCTAACGTGATAAAGGAGATACAGTCGGACCCCGCTAATTCGAACTCGGTTATTTCAAATTCTCCGTTATTTCTTACTTAAAAACATTTCTCTCGGATTTGCCTTTCAGTCATTTACTATCTGCTATTTCGAACTCCCGCTATTTCGAATTTTTTGCAGTCGTTTCCCCTGCGAGTTCGAAATAGCGAGATTCAACAGCACATGGGTGCAATGACTGCGGATGTTCACGTTTTCAATACTGTCACCAGTTTTGTTCAACATTGTTTGTTATTCCAGGGTTATTTTAAAAAGAAAGAAATTATCCTAATTCCTAAATGCTACTTTTCATTAATGATCTTGCTTTGAACTCGCCAGTTATAGTAATTTTATCTATTTGGAATGCGGAGGGGGCAGGGGGAGCTGGGAGGTTTCTGTACTTCCAACATTTTTCAAAATATTTTTTGCGGGGGTGTCCACTTATTTTTCGGGGAATATTTCCTAAAACATTGCCGTATTTCGGCCCGCGGCATAAATGTGGGCATAATATACCCTGATACCGCATTATTCACATAAAAAGAGAGATATATTCATAATCGGTGTTTTGATTTGATTTGTTACAGTAACGGTATTTTCTCGAGAAACTCTACGGGCCCAGTATATGAATAACATCACGTGACTATCGTGACAGCGCCATGACGGTTTATCGTGTTGCTGAGTAACCACTCTCTAAGTGAAACTGCGGGCCTCAAACAGTTGGGCCCCAAACAGTACTCGTTCCTCTTATTGTGAATAAAAAGTAAAGAGCATTGTATACTTACCCCAAAACTAGAGCCTCTCTTAAGTGTGGCTAGGGACGTGAACGGAGAATCCTTAGTTGGGTCATTTTCCGATAGTACTGTCACTGAAATATAAATAATAACAACCGTAAGGATCAAAAATTTTATTTTCCTTAGGTCAGTAATAACGAAGGAAAAGTTGTGCTAATAGCAAATTAAAACAGACTTTATTGCTACCATACTGTGCGTGTCTCCCCAATCCAACACGAATTTTTCCCTTTGACTCGAGCTCGAGTATACACAGCAACAACGAGCTCACGTTAAACACGGACGATGTACGGATACGAGAAGATATGCTACGAACAGAAGACAGGTGATGTACTCTGTACAAGCTTTTCGATTCCGTGTGGTTTACAGGTACAATAATTAATGGAGATTGTTCAATCTCATCGCAGGTTTCATCTTTGGTAATCATTCGTATAAAACAACGTAATTAACTCACTGCAAGATACGATGTATAAAAGGGAAGCTTCCTGTATAGCTTCTGAAAGTAGGTGGTAGCTAAATGTATAGATACATATGTATGTGAAGCCGCCAGTTACACAGGTAAAAAAAATTAATAGCGTATCTTTTGCTTACCGGTTCCATTTATGAGAAAATAAAAGCTCTCTGCTACGTGATCTTGTTTTATAATAATTTTATTCGCAGGAAGGCTGAAAAAAGAAAAAGGTATATGGACGTGAGAAAAAGTAGTCAGATACGACTTAACCAAACCCTACTCATGCATATTAGTTCAGTCCTGAAAACTCATTTCCCCCCGCCCCATGCAGGGGTTCAACCGGGCGGGAAGAGGGTGGGGGCAGGGAGAGTTCAGGGACTGGCCAATGCTTAGATGTGCACCAAAGTAGACGCAAACTTCTCAACGTCTGGTCGTCAATCACAAGTGAACAGAACTCTTATTGTTAACTTATGGTAATAAAAGTTGCAGGCGCAGGGGCACTGAGATGTCTATGCTTTTTGGACATCTTGCACGCTCTCTCAAGTAAGCTCAGTGCGGCTTCCCAGCAAAACGTTAAGTTATCTTATCTTGTCTTATCTTAAACTTCCCTGTGCACAAGGTACCTAGGGACATTTCCGGGGAGGCACTCCGTTATATGGGCTATATAGGTATGTGCGAACCCTAAGGGTATGGTTTTTGACCCGTTTTGGTCATAAATAGGGGGTCGATTTCAGCCATTTTGATCATTAATAGGGTATTGTTTTTGCACTCTAGTCTTCAATTGGGCATTTTTTTTTTTTGGAAGAAGCTACTTTTTCATCATTATCGATAAGACCGAACAACAAAAGCCCTTTACTATGCCTTTAACATCGGTCTGAACTAGGGAACTAAGTATAAGGCAGGTCTGAAACAGGGTATTGATGTAGGGTCAGGTCATAAATAGGGCATTGAAATTCGCAGATTTTGGTCATAAATAGGGTAACGTTTTTGGGAAGCGGGCCGCACACCCCCACCCAATTTTTCTCACAGTATCCCCCCGGGGACATTTCGTGACCGGGATCTATTATTTCATCCATAATTTCTCGGGTGATTAAAGCAACTAAAGTACTATACCTTTGCAGCCAGGCAACTTTACACACGTCTTGTTGCATATGGAGAGGAAGCTCAGAAAATGATTCCAAGGTTTGAAGAGCGTATAATATCTGAGTGACGTCAAAATAATGAAAGTCAGCTTAAGGAAAATTAGCGCAACGATGTGACTTGATTTCCATTGTCTGACAGCCTTTAAACGATTGTTTAATCCTGCTTTAGTAAAGCTTTGACATCTGGGAGTGTCTTAAGACAGAATTCTCGCTCTCTCAAGTGAGTGATATGATCTTGTCAGTGCTACGAAAATTGCTGGACCTGAAGGGAGCCCTAAGACACACACGGCTTGAGAAAGAGTAAATTGAGGATGAAAACTCACGGTTTGGAGTTGGTCGCTTGTCCGTTCCTCTGGCCTTGAGCTCAGCAGTTGTTTGACTTCCTTACTAATCTTAACCTGTAAATGAAATCAACGAAAATCAAAGCCCATTCGGGAGTGAAAACACGTCACCAGTTGTATTTACTTTTCTTACAACTGTTCCAATTTGCCGAAGGCTTTACTAAAAACTAAATCTCCCCTTTGCGCTATTGTTTGTTCTGGAACTACTTGCTTCGCTCATTTATGTCCTGCAACTGGAGGTTTGAGCAATTTGTGTACGTTTTTATGTGGTTAAGACTAACGCAGAGAAAAACAAGCTTCATTCGACCGGGAATATCAACGTCAAAACAACAACACTCTTAGTCCATTTACAAAACATGGGCGAAAAGGAAAAGACAACCAAGGGCGTTATAAAGCAAAAGAAATGAACAAATATGGGATTTGCGAGCGAAGTGAGCAAAAGAATAGATTTATTTCGGTCCCCACCCCCTACCCTGTCAAGTCTTCCGTTTTGCGCTGGCGTCCAGTTCGCTCGCGATTCTGTCCGCGCGTTCAACGATCGAATAATAAAGACGAGAAAATAGAGTGCTGTGAACAGTCTACACACTTTACTCTCACAGTGCCTCTCTTCACCCAGGTGTATAAATGGGTACCGGCGAAATTAATGCTGGGGTAACCCTGCGATGGACCAGCATCCCATCCAGGGGGAAGTAGAAATATTTCTAGTCGCTTTATTCTACAGAAACCGGGTTAAGCTGCGGCCTGATGGGCCACTTGGCTCGTATGCGAACTTTACCTTTACCTTGCCTATTCTTTACCTTACAAATCTCGCTTAAATGAGGCCTGTGTTTTGAGGTAAAGAGAAAGAAATTTCCCAGCCAGGAGGACTGAGATCTAGCCGGTCAAACCCTTAGTTCAGTATTGCGCGCATTGAGTGCATTCAAACGTTTCTGACAGTTTTCCGATTGTTATTTTTATTCTTATTGATATTTTATTATTATTATTATTATTACTACTATGATTGTCATTGTCACTGTCATCATTATCATTATTATTACCATTATTATTATTATTATTATATTATTATTATTGTTATTGTTATTATTATTATTATCATTATTATTTCGCTGGGTTTTATTCATGATGAAGCAGATGCATAACAAAGGATATATAAAATAGTTTCTGAGTGTATTTCTCAGGTGAACGAGTTTCTTTGCCTTTTCTCCTCTCGTGCGCACCCGAACGCTTTGCCAGTTGACAAACATCACCGACAAGTCCGCATTTCTCGTCTTCCAAAATCTCCAACGTTTTTTGGTAAAATTCAAAATAATTTGGTAAATTGGCGGTGCACTGAAGAAACATCGAACTAGATAGCCTTATTTTCAAAGTAAATTTCTTATCTTTTTACAAATTTCTATAGTCTGATCATATCGCAATCAATTGCGCGTGCGACATTGGCTAAACGGCGTCTTCTATAAATAGAAACAATGTGTTTAATTATTTTATACCGCTTCCCTACAACAATAGAAACAAAAGTTTTTGGCTCAGCTTTTTTTCTTTTAATTGTGCCTGTCGTATACTGAATTAGTATACAAACAGATCCCTCACCGTTTTTTATTCCTTCAACATGAGATTTCTAATTACATATGTCGGAAGGATGATGAATTATATCTATGATAAAACGTGTCAATGAAGTCAATTGAAGATTTTCATTTAAATAAATGAACTGTTGTGCTTTACACAAAGAAGTTCCTATTTTCTCATTCAACTTTGTAAACGGAAGGAATCCTGTCGCGGATTGCTTTCTTTTGTTAACGATAAAGGATGGAAAATTAATTGCATGGGTTTTAACATATATCCTTGAACCAACATTTCTGGTTAAATTGTTGTGAAGTTTATCTTCGTTTAAGGAAGTGCCACTAGCGCTCCGGTTGAAAAGCATAGTAGCAGATCGATCATGTCATTGAGAAACAACACCATGTTTCAAGTAACCGCCAACGAAACTACACTGGGCCAACAAAACAGGGAGTGTATCTTTACCAGTGATTCGACTGTAGAGAAAATTTCCAAACTTTGGGCGTATTGTGTTATTTTGCTGGGCAGCTTTTTCGGGAACGCGTTTATAATCGCCATCGTCTACAAGCACCGAGATTTACACAAAACAATTAACTATTTCATCGTGAACATGGCTGTGTCGGATTTGATTTTTCCGCTCTTAGTATTGCCAGTTCAAATAAGAAGAATGCAAGCCGACTCACAGGATTGGCCAATCAACGGTATCTTTGGGTTGATGTTTTGCAAGTTGTGCTATTTCGCAAGTCTAGTGTCCATGCATGTTTCTGCTCAAAGTTTGGTGTGGATTGCAATTGATAGATTTGTCGCCGTGGTTTTCCCATTAAAACTTGGCCTTATTTCGAAAAAGATTCGCACAATAGCTATTGTTTCAATGTGGATTTTTGCAGGCTTTCTCCACTCTCCATCGCTAATAGTTGTGGAACTTGTGGTAACTGCCAGTGGTACGGTTTGTAAGGAAGTGGACTCAGAATCAGTTTTCTCTGACCAAGAGGCCATAACAACATATTTGTGGCTTCAGTTTACTTTCTTGTATATAGGACCCTTATTTTCAATAACCATTTTGTACACTGCGATAGCAATTGCTTTAAAAAAGCGGAACAAAGCCCTCGCGAACACCGAACCAAATGTAAAACGAAGTCAGTCTATGAGGAACCGAAGACAAGCTATGCTAATGGCGGTTGTTATCATGGTGTTGTATTACATTTGTGTTACACCCCACACTTTACTTCATTTCGTACCCTTCTGGAGACCTTCTTGTGCCTTTCTACGAGTACTAATTTTCATGGCAAGTTTCTCGATTTACTCATCTTCTATTGTCAATCCAACAATTTGTCTGACATTTGTTAAAAGCTATCGTCGTGGATTGAGAAACATTTTATGTCCCTGCAGCAGATTGCCGAAAGAAAAGATGACGAAACCGCGCGGGCAGATAACTCTAAAAAAGATTAAAAATCTAACTAAAGAAAGCCGTCCTCGACATTCCAAGGACTCAGAAAGTGACAAAGAAATATTGGACACTGCTTTGTAGAGATAAATATAATTAAGCACTTTCCGAAAAATGTAAATGGGAAAGGAAGAGAAAATGGAACTGAAATTCGCGGTAAGAATATTCAAAGCGAACTAAAAAAACATATACTCGCCAGTTTGTTTTCAGAGTAGCGCCGTTCTACATCATTTCATTGACATTACAGCGGACTTTAGAACAAAGAAAACGAAGTTTGGAGAGGTGATTATACCACAATAAAACCAATTTCAAACCGGGATTTTAAGTCGAATAAGAAGCGTTCGTGTACTTGCTTATTCACTGCCTAGTCTTTCATTTACTATCTTCAATTGTGCACTGGATTTTAATTATTTTCATGCGTTCTTATTTCCGATCCGTTATTTCTCATCACAACAGTTTACAGCAGGATAAAAAAATATATATATTATGAAATTCGTCTTTAGCGGGTATGTTGTTTACATTATTCAACAGACCGAAAGAACCTTATGCAGCTAAGATCCACTACTCAATAGCACATTACTGTTATATGTTTGCTCTATGCCAAAAGGGAATACTTTTTCAATCTATTGAGTTGGTCTTAATTACTTTTTGCGATGTGAAATTTCTTTCTCTGTATCAGGTCAAGGAAATTATTTCCTTGTTTGTAAAAGGTAGGCTGATAAATAATACACGGCTTCGATTAGCAATATAGGAATAAGATATTTTGACTTGAAATTCAGGCTAGTGAGAATCGAGAACAAAATACTGTTGTGATTGGCTGACGAAAATGGACTTTAATGTGAAGTATATATAAAATAATTCATATTTGAACTGCGGTTGTAGATGAAAGTGAAGAATGATCATCGCAGTAAATTTTCCAATTTCAACAATTGGAAAGAAGAAGCCTGAAAAAAATCAGGGCTTCAACGGGATTCGAACCCGTGACCTGGGCGAATACCGGTGCGATGCTCTACCAACTGAGCTATGAAGCCACACATTGGGAGCTAGGTCAATATATATATCAATATATAGCTCAGTTGGTAGAGCATCGCACCGGTATTCGCGGAGGTCAGGGGTTCGAATCCCGTTGAAGCCCTGATTTTTTTCAGGCTTCTTCTTTCCAATTGCTGAAATTGGAAAATTTACTGCGATGATCATTCTTCACCTTGAAAATGGACTTTGTTCACTGGAAGTTAATAATATATTTGAGATCTTGTTTTCTTGAATCATAATTCAGAGCTCCCTTATGGGAAGTACAAGCCTGTTCTTACGTGAGGTTATTAATGCGGTATTTGTGTGTCTGGGATCAAAAAAGACGTTCTTTACAGAAAAAAGCTCCTTATTAGAGGTTGCAAATGAACTTGTACGGTGAGGTATGTTAGTATGTGACCGTGGACCACGACTGAGGGGCTCCTAAGAGGCAATACGTACATGTCCCTTCATCCACTACAACTTTATCATATTCTCCCTTCTTCGTCATTAACAAATTCGATTTTTTTTCACGAATTTTTTTGCCAATGTTCCCGTAGATAGAATATATTTTTATCTACTGCTCCCTTGAAATAACTTACACGTGACCTTGTTCCTCTAAGCCCCTGGGAGGGACTCTTGGCCTGCTGTTCCTTAACGAACTGTTCCAAAGAATCTGAGGTGGAGATACATGAAGGTACACTAAATCCACCAAATCCTTTACCTTCTTAAGGTGAAGTCTGCATGCAAGCCATTTGGCCCATCAGGCCGGCGCTTATCTCCGATTGCTGTAGCATGAAGCGACTAGGGGTATTTCTACTCCCCCATGGATGGGATGCTAGTCCATCGCAGGGTTACTCCCAGCATTAAATTCGCTGGTACCCATTTGTACACCTGGGTGGAGAGAGGCACTGTGAGAGTAAAGTGTCTTGCCCAAGAACACAACACAATGAACCCGGCCAGGGCTCGAACCCAGATCACTCGATCCAGAGTCGAGCGCACTTACCATGAGGCCATCGCACCTCCACTATATTTCATTACCTCTTTATTCGCCTTGAATTGCTTTGGATCAAACACTGGTGCTGCACTTGAGAAGCCAGGTTTGTCGTGATGGATGTTAGTTAGGTGTTTCTCTCTTGTTGTCATGTATCCTTCCATAATCTCAAGAAACGACTTACAGATTCCTTCCTGATGAAAAATGGCTTTGGGGTTACTGGGAAAACAAACAAACAAACAAAAAAAAAAACAAAGATCATGTTATTTATCTAAAGCCACGTTTCATTTTAAATTCATTGCTCTGCTCCTATAAGCTATCGAATATCGTCTTCTCTTTCCGAAAAAAAAAAATTCCTAGGGACCAAGGCAGAAACACTTGCAGAAAAAAGAGCAGGATTTTTTGCTGCTGTTTGTTTACTTGTTTTATTTTGTCTGGTAAATCTTTCGTTGAAGCATTCGAATGGTTTCTCATTCTTATTATCCAATCAAAAGCTAGCGCCAGCATTCTCGAGTACTTCATAAAACAGTCACGCCAGCATGGCCCAATAAAGATATCCATTTCGTATTGCTTAGCAACTTCGAGGGCTAAGGGCAATTATTGGAGATAAGACAGGCACTTCTTTTCCCCGCTAACAACTCCATTTGCCGCAGTTTCGAATTTACCTCAGAGGAATTATTTGTAATGATTACATTTTCGTCCTAGAGTGGCAGGTGCAAAATCGAAATACGGGAGTATTATATTATATTTTGCGGTGGTTAACTTCCTAAAATTACTATTTTTCCAAGCTTGAAACTCTACATGGATTAAGTGCAAGCTGAAACGAGGTCAAATCACGATTGTGTATCACGGCTCAATTACTAGCCGCTGTTTAGGAAAGGAGTCCACGGAGAGGAATCTTGACAGGACTCAAGAGAGCAGCGGAAATCGAACCTAATAAGAATCACTATTTTGAAGTTTAATACCACCAGAGTCAAGTGAATCCGGTGGTGACACAGAATCATATAGTGTAGTAGGTTATTATTATGCAATTTTGCAGTATACAGTATTACATAACAGTCTTCACTGCAGTAAATGCTTTCTTTTTGTGAAAACTGCAGAGATGACGATTAAACAGCAAAACCCAGCAGAGGTATTTACAAGTTTAAACTTAAATCGTTTGGTCGGATGCCATACATGTCATAGCCTGCTTACATACATTCTTCTCCCCATCCTCCTCGTCCTCGCCGATGTTTGTTTTTAGGGGAGGGAGCGGATGTAAACAGGCTATGCGGATGCACGTTCAAGAGGGATACTGAACCAGTACAGTAAGTGTATTAATCAGTCCTATGACGGCAAACCTTTGGCATGCACGTCCAAGGCGTATGACAACCATGACTAGTCTTGCTAATCTTCTGAAGCACTCCAGTGGCTGTGGAAATAAAGCGGACCGAAAAAATAAACAATCATTACGATTTGATGAGCGCGGATTTGAAATGCCGGACTTCCGTAGTAATTTCGCAGCTGTTCAAATTGTTCTCACAGAATATTCTTACATACATGGTCAGGACTGTTAGCTTGTTTGAATTAGGGGTTTCAGCAAGCTACAGCCTTGGTCAATTTAAATGGAAGATGGATCACCCCTTCCCCATTTCAATAGCGTGAGTTTATCATTGGTTAGGGGGGAGGGGAGGTTTCATTTCTAATTATAGTCCGACCGAGACTGTAGGTTGGGAACCTTTGTAATCTGTGATTAGGCTCGTACCTTGAGATCTACAAACTAGATCAAATTTTTTTTTCTGTTTAGCCGAATTGCAACTAATGAAACGAACCTCCGTCTTGCCCTCGCTACACCTTAATTGAAGTTTACGGTAATCTGCACACCATGTGTTTAAGTGGTATATCCCCGCCCGCCCGGCCGCCCAAACGCCACCACCCTCCCCCCTTCCCCGGGTCTATATCAGACTGTGACAGACAAGCGGAAAGGACTACCATAGCTAAACACCCTAAACTCGTGACTAAAAACCTTAACTGACCTGCCTAAGTAAGTTTTATTGAGAACAGGACGAGCAGAATAACTTTTGGAAACACGACTTGGTTGCAAGAAGAAGCTAACTGCCTCTTAGTTAATTTAATGTTGCGTGCTTGTTAGTGTCGAATCTCCGAGTAAAATGCAAGAAACAGGCACATTTCAGATGGCCACCGAAGTGGCGGCATATTGCTTTACAGATATCAAACTACCTCACAGTATGTTCATCCCTTTTTGTTGACATGATAATTACGTCAAGTACTTTCAAATCATGGTCAACTCTTCGGAAAGAGTCGATTGCTCTTTGTAGAACATCTCTCCTTCTGCAGCATGATGAAATTAGGCAAACCGATGCACACTTTCGAACTGATTTACTCGCAAAAAGTGTTCACGTCATTGAATTTTCCAACTCCGACTTTGAGTTTTACAACTGACAGGCTATAATAAAAGATATCATTTGGAATATTTCCTTATAGCTTTAAATAAACAGTTATTTCCTCAGTGATCCTCAATGATTAATTTCCGTGTATAAACACGATCAAAAGGCGGCTCTCACAGGATCCAGTTCAAATCTTAACGATCTGTAAAAAAAAAGAGGTTTACGAAACAAAACGCGATACCTGCCTCTTAATTATTTGTGATAATTCTAGGCTTTTGACTGAACTCACCTCGAAATGAATACTCGAAGCGTTGGCTTTGTTTAGACTTATTTTCCTCCATCTTTTGATACACAACCGAAGATTTTCGTTTCTAGATCCAAACGATTGACTGGATTCATCGCCGTTCATTGCTAAGCTCCCTGGCGCTGTTCGTGTTGGCTCCGGTGGCTCTTTGATCGTTGGAAGACTCTGAAGACTTTGATGCCGAAGGACAACGGGACGAGAATGCAAACGAGATTTAGAGTTTTTAGCGCGGTCACGATCGCCGAGTGCCGCCGGAGTCTCCACTTCGTTGGTATTAGAAACGCTTTTTAAAGCATTCGATTCCCACCAGCTTTGATTTTCGCGTTTTACAAACCAATTTGATTTCTTTTCAAATGCTGGAAGCACTGTCGCCATTACTGGGCGCAGATAAACCCTTGTTTGACTCTCAATATAGAGAGCTGGTATTAAATACAACCTCACGTCGCTAGGCAAGAGATAAAAGCGGACAAGCCTGCGAAATCTGAGTCAAAAAAAAGTTGGTCCCTTTGACCTCACGACATCTAATACCCCCCGGAATTTCAGCTCTTAATAAAGAAAACGCATTACGATGGCTTATGCATGAAAAACAACTGCTATAAACGAAAGAATGTAGTCTTGATTTAAAATCACTTACAATTCCCTCGCCAAAGCTCCGAAAATGAATAACGTTACATTCGTTGCAAAAACTCTCGTGCCAGTTCTCTTTGTGTCACAGCAAATATCACGTAATAATGATTACAAAGAAAACATTGATTGATTGGCTCTCTGACGATTTTAAGTTGACAAGAGGGAGCGGGAAGCGAGATTCACGCGTGAGTGCGGAAGCGCGAGAAAAAAAAAAACCAGCTAGCGCAGACTAGTTATTTTTGATTGATTGATTGATTGATTGATTTATTTTACCTTTTTATTTTAAAGATTTTTTTTTACTTCGTGCGTTTTGTTTGTGCCTAAGTCCGGATACAGGGTAATGAGATGGAAGCGTGGATTCCAGATTTGTAGTTACTCTGCGCATAAGGTCATAGGGATTCTGGAGTTGACATCAATTAATATTTCTTTGACCAAAAAGTTTGATTACTGTATAGTTTTGATCCTGACTGAGGGACTTAATCACGAAAGAAACCCCCTAATAAACTTTAGTTCCAGTTCCACAATGATCAACTTGTAAAAGCCTCAAAAATGCATCGTCCCCAGATCCGAGACTGTCTCTCTTAGCTGGGGTGGCCTTGGCACGAGAAAAAGGTGGCTTTTAAGAAAGGCGATTTGATTGGCTAGATTCTTGGACTAAGATTTTCACTAATTTAACGCTGTCTTCCTTCCCGTTTCCTTAGTTGATCTGTACCTACGAGCTTGCGATTACAGCAGCTCGCCAAAATTTTACTTGTATTAACGTATAAAAAGTACCGTCGTTAAAATTTGTCTTAATTAACGTTTGTTTGAGCTCCAATCGAATGGTTTTAGCTAGAGATAGACCAGTGGCAGAAACCAGCCCGGTGGATATTTTCGGAAATGAAATCAGCTTTGATTAGCTTTGATTTAATGAGAGTCTTAGTACAAGGCAACCAAACACGCATCTCCAGAGCCACCTTTCCTCGTGCCAAGGCCCTACCGCGCGGCGAAGAGGGACGGGAGGCACTGGAGACGAGTTTTTACGCAGAGTACGCGACTTGGAAAATCCATGTCACGTGACCAACAACACGTGCGTGGATGGCGGAAACCGACTGACCTGTGAGGGGTAGGTTACGAATGCACCTCCCTCTTGAGGAAAGCGAGAGAGCGACGTGCTTGTAACCCAAGTATTCTTCGCGCGGAGTTATCGATCTCCTGGGGAACAGTGCTGACCGATGCTGTTCCCGCTCCAAAATCGTGTCTGAACGAGCCTGTTTTAGTTCCGAGGCCTGAATTTGGGTGTGGAATACGCTGGAGCGTCGCACAGTGACTACAGGCAGAGAATGAACCTGAATGGAAGTGAAACGCGCTCCCGAAGGAGGGTTGCATTGTACGTTTGAAAAACTTGCACGTCTTGAGTTTTTGGGCCAAGATGATTCTGGTGAACTTGTTATGATTTCCGGGGCACTTGGCATCATATTTGTCCCGTCGAATTAACTGTGCATATCATACAACACTGGCGTTGAATATAACTTGACTGCTGCTAACTGAGGCTATCGGGGGAAAATTTCTCACGATCGGAAAAACGTTACGTTATTGTCATTAGCACCTACAATGCCATCGAATTTCTACCAGGGGCAAAATTAAAAGCTGAGAATTTTTTTCTCCAGATGGGCCCTTGAATGAAATACCACTTCAAGAAAATTGCAATTCACACCAGCTTCCGTAGAGTTATTTAGTTTCAGCGACTTACTAAGAATTCAAACTATGTCTCATTCAAACAGCAATATTTTGAAACAGAACACGTACACGGCTCTAACCCGATATGACGTAGTCGAGTGGTCAAGCATTGGCCTTCAAACCCGCGGGCCGTCGAATCCCGCGCTGACAGCTTTAGTACACCAAGGTTGACGGAATTCAGCTTAATCTTCGCCCGAGAGCTTTCCCCTGCCAAAGGTTTTCCTGGCCCACCTTCCCGATCCACGGCAAAAATTACGAGCAATTAGTATGAACCGAGCCGAATTTATATGAGAGCTAGTCCAGCTGTGAGGCAGGATTTAATAAAGCGGCAGAATTCCCGGACAGAACTGCCATGAGAAGGTGAACCTCTGGAAGGAGCAAAGCGATCCAGCGGGAGTCTGGGGAAGAGGCGTCAAGATGGTGCAGGGTGAAGGTGAAGGGCTGCGACCTCGTCAAGTAACATGCGATAGAATTCTCGAGCGAATAATCTAATTTTATTTTAAACCAATCAGCGCGCGTTTTATCTTTCGGCTATTTTCTAAAGGCAACACAATTCACAAAATTCACGCAACGCAACTTAAGCATAATATGATTAATGCCGGAAAGCTACTTATTTATTGCAGCGACACATTCGTTAACAGTGTTAGATTCTTCACGTTCAGTTCAGCTTCTTCTATGCTCTTCTGTCTCGGTTCACACTTAACTCTTAAAGTGGTCAAAACGTTTCTTCTTCGCCGTTGTTTTAAACACGTAAAAACTTCAAGTGCGAATAGGCATTTAAACACAAACATGCACCTTACCGAATTTCACCTGTAAAGAACTTTTAACATAACTAAAATCAATCCGTCATTTCATATTTCAGCAGAACTGGATAAACTTTGTAAGTTTTCACATTGACTGTCTGCTGAAATAACGTCAGCCTTAGCTTCATATTCTGGCTAAACGCTCGAGTCCTGAGTTCTGCTTATCTAAGATACGTCAGACAGTTAACATCCACAAACAGTTTACTCGTCCCATTTATGAAAATCTCAAATCTTTTTTTTTTAATCCTAAAAAAGAAGACTTCCACTTGTCCTGTCGCCCAAACTCACGAAGCTACAGCAACACCAATGTTACTGGCCGCCGAACATGTTTCCAAATGGCATGCCGCCAGGAAACCCACTATCGGGCGGCGGGCCTTCTCCCGCGGGTCCGAACTTCTTGGCCAGTTTATCGATGATCATTTTCACTTTAGGGATGTGGTCGTATTTTGAGATGTTCTGGGGATTCTGACTCACGTCTTGAAAGGCTTGCATCACCTCTTGGTCCTGAAATTAGCAGAACAATGTCTTGTTCAGCATAGCTTAAGAACAGGCTCCCGGCGAACGAGCTCTCGGCGAGGGCGGAAAAATATTTAGGTGAGCGAAACCCGTCCCGTCTTTTTTCGCGCTCGCCAAGAGCTTGTTCGCAGGCTACCACAGTAATATGGTAGAACTTAAGGTCAGGGAGAGGGACGAGATACGTGCAGCGAAAGAATATTTCATCTTCTCTCGCCTTCGCGCGTGAACGACACGAACCTCGAGAGGGACCACATGCGTGTGCCTCAGTAGATTCCAGAAGAATCTCAAAACACGCCTTAAAAGAAGTGTGCGAGAAACAGTATGGAAATTTAATATTTTGAGCCAGGGACTGAAAGGACTACAAAACCAACCTGAAATGCGGCCAATAACTCTGGATCACTAAGAAGATCGTGCAAGTTTGGTGTTTGGCCACCTACAGTAACGACAATCAACAATCAGTACAACAGAAAGAGGGCAATAGAATATCTAGTCAGCTAACTACAGTAAGGTAAGATAAGGTCTGTGTCAGGACCACTCGATCCGGTGTTCAGTGCACTAACCATCAGGGTACATGCACTTCCTTGTTTAGAGCGCCTGGTCAGTTCTCTGTGGCAAGAATCCTAGGCTTGCCTTCAGTTAGCATATAAGCTTATGCATTAAACCTTATGAGCTAGTTGCAAAAGCTGCCCTCCAAGGTAGGGTACAGTTTTGTACAATGTACGAACTCAGTTGGAATAAAGTCGTATATGTATTTAATGAGCTTCTCCGGAACCTCTTACCAGAAGCGAGTCGCTGCGGCCCAAAACAGGTATTACCAGAGTAGGTCAGTATTGTCTCAAAATCGTGAAAACGTTTAAATGTGGATTAAGAACTCACTTAAATTTAATCAAAACTAAATGATACAACTATGGTTTTTCTCCAAATTTTGAAAGAGTCAAAATCAAAAGCGCGAGCGTCGAACGTGTAAAACTTTTACAGCTATGTAACTTGGGGCATTATTACATGAACGCCATCAGAGGAGACGATTTGCAACCTGTGCCAGCCACATAACAACCTGACTGAATTGTTACCATTGCCAACCTCGCCACAGTTAGCCACTCTCACATTTCTGATTAGACTTGACACAAGTCGACCTTTGCCAGGGAAGAATTATTGGAAAGGACTTTTAGAAAGTCTAATTTCTGACTGACCTGTTGCTGTTATTTGATGAGTACTGATTTGACAAACTTAATTCACAACTGTTGATCAAGCCTTGCTGATCTTCTCGAAAATATTAACAATAAGCTAAACATAACTCTCAAAACCGAGTTTAGTTGTCAAAGGGCTGAGAAATACCTGCAGTAGCTGCTCCTGTGAATCCTCCGCCTCCTGTCCCTCCAGCACCAGGGAATCCCCCAGGGAATCCCCCAGGGAATCCCCCAGCACCTCCAGGGAATCCGCCAGCCCCGGAAAAGTCTCCGGAAAAGCCTCCACGGTGACTTCCAGCCGTCTCTTCTTGACGTTTTTTTCTCTCTTCCTCTTCCTGTAAAAGAGACACAAGAAGCTTGAATCAAACAACTGGTGATGCTGTGGGCTGTTAGACCAAAAGGAGTTTTGGTCTAGATTTTACGGGATAGGGCAAAATTTAAAAGGGTACATTTTCAACTCAACAATTCTGCTAACAAGAAGAGTTATTTAGCAACATCACTTTTCTACCCTTAGAATAATAAGCTACAATACTTGAAGACAAAACTGACTTTTACGATATATGCAGAAATTCTCGTGCGCTCATTGGCTAATTTTCATGGTCAATAAGCGGACAGACACATGATTTTATAATTCATGCAATGCGTCAATGAGCGAGAGCGGACAATTTGACAATTTGCTTTCGTAAGAAACAACTTGACATTAGTTTTTCATGCGTCTGTCCTGTTATTGACAATGAATTTCGTCATAACATTGTCAAAGTAGTCTGCGCATCCACTCGGCTATCTCCTTGTGGGTCCACAGTTACTTTGACAATGTTATGACGAAATTTATTGTCAATAATGCGACAGACGAATGAAAAGCTGACATCAATTTGTTAAAATCCTGAACCAGGAAAATGTTTATGAACAAATGAAAAACTAGGAAAAAAAATGGACATCACGATTTCATAATTCAGGGCCATAACCAGACTGAGGCAATGTCATGAAAAAATTATGACCATGGTTAAATTTTCTTCCTAGGTGTAAAGCATGCTTATGATGACCACGAAAAATATGACTGAGGTTACAAAGTGCCTCAGTTTGCCTGTTACCAGCAACAGTGTATGACCTTGTGATTCATTGTTTTTGATACTGTGACATTACATGCAGCATATTTGTTTTTTGAAGACCATGAATTCATTTGGAATCACCCCCAGAGGAACTTCCTTGTGCGCATGTCGTAAAATTTAAATTAAAGGAGCTCAGTGGCAATATTTTGTGCTACATACAAAATTACGTTTTAATTGAATGAAACCTAAAAATAATAGGTTAACTAAGATAGAAAAATACTAATTAAAAGAGTTAATATCAAACCATAAAAAACAAGGTTGGTTAAGGATGGAGAAGATTAAAATAGATTACCAATGACAGACTTCAAAAAACTTAAACTAAACTTTTCAAGATGCGCAAATCGTGACATAGCTCCTTTAAACCCTTAACCGAGACCAATCTGGCATGGCTTGAGATTTATTTGACCCTAAAAGGTACCACTTTCAAACAGACATAACAGTTTTCTATTTTTATTATTTCCGTGAGTGCAACCCTAAAAGATACTTTGAGGGCTAAAAATAGTGGCATTTCTTCCTGAACAACCCAAGTGTGACCAACTCCATGATTCACATCTCTAAGTTGAATGACAAGCTTCCCCAGCCTTTTCACATGGCAGTCTCCCCCCGGGAAAATCACCCGGAGCTAGCAGGCTTCGGTTCTCTTACCTTTTTTGCTTTTTCTTGTGCTTCTTTTACCTTGTTTCTAATTAATCAATGAAAAGATTAGACATGTCATTGTTATAAAGGAACACATTTAATTACTATCATGAACTGAATATTTTTTTAACACTTGAAGACATCATTTGTTTGGTTAAATTCACCAAATTATTGATTTCCAAGAAATAACTCAATTTTTACTGATAGGCCAGTTGTGATGTATCAAATGCAGACTGAATGGAAAAAAAGTTCTTTTCAGCTGGTCAAAATGGTAAAGTACATGGTCATAAATTTCATCTTTATGGTACAGCATTACACAGGGTGTGCCAAAACCTTTGTCCGGAAAAGTGATTCCAACAAAATCTTTGACATGAAATTGCCCCAGGAACATGCAAGCACATTTCTGGTTGCCTGGAAACAATGTGTAGCTACAGTTGAATGAAAATTAAAGTCACAGAGCTTAATCGCTAAGATTAAAATGTGCCCATTGGCATAAAAAGGTGTTCATAGACAGTAAACAACACATGTAACCATTTTGTAGGCAAGCTTTGTTTCTGTAGAAGCTTTGCTACCTTTAAAACACTTTAGACAAGCACTTTTTGGTATCTAACCTGTAGCCAAGTTCTTTCTGATCGTTGTGTGAAGGAAAAGTGAATCATTAAATTTTTTTCACTTCCTAAACTTCATGAATAATTAACCACAACATTATTTATTGTTTTACTGTGAATTTTCTGGATCATGATAAACTACTATTATGTATATTGTGAACACAAAATGCACCCCCACATAGCAGAATTTACAGTAATATCAAATTATGAACATTTTTATTCTATACAATTACATTTTATCCATTTTTTCTTTTTCAGCCTTCTCTTGTCGTTTTCTTTCATATTTTCTATGGTGCTCAGCAAGGAGTTGTGCCTAAGAAATGAAAAAGAGTACATTATTATTTATAACTGTACCTGACAGTTTTTGAACTCCACTCTTTTATGTTTCATTTTCCAAATTAATGAAAGAAGATCTTTCAGAATATATTCTTCAGTTTCCAAAACTTTTGCACCTTTTATAATGTTAAGATTTTAGGATTTTGGAATGGTAAACATGGAATAATGTTACAAGCATGGGACACAAATAAATTCTGAGTCACCAGTGGGATTTGAACCTATGACCTCCTAGATACTGGGCAGAAACTCTAACCACAGAGTCGAAGAGACTTGGGGTCAGCTGGGTCACTGTAACTGTGAATTACTGGGAAGTTTTCTCTGCACCTTGGCTCTAAACCCTACTGAGCTCATGAAATGTAGCCTGCAGAACAGGCGGATTAGCGGGGCAGCGAGCAAGAGGTGCGATACATAAGCATGGAGCGCGAGAGACACGTTTCACTCTCTGTCCTGCTAATCCGCCTGTTCTGCAGGCTAATGAAATTGAAAACTTTCAGCATTTTCATTTATCAATAATCATGCACGTTTCTCAAGGCAGATTAAGCTTTTGAATTTCTTTGGTACTCCCTGTGGTATCAGAGTTCCCATTAACACACAGGTGTGCGTCTTATATGTGCAAAAAACTGATTCTAAGGATGCACAGTTTTTTGGCAAAGTGTGTCCTTGGGATGCACGAAAAAAGTTCCAGAAATTTTAGTAAACAGGCAAAGGACCCTTGAAAAGCAAAAGGAACCCCCAACTCTTTGGAACTGGGGGTCCCAAGGACCCTTAACTATCAAAACAAATGGGAACTCTGCAGCATAGGTGCAGTAGGAAATATGCAATAACCTTTAGCTACGAACTCTATAATGGAAATCAATGAAGTACAAGACTCGGTAAGTAAAAACAAAATGCAAACACACATTTTATTGTTTAAATACCTTTGCACATGCATCGTAGACCTAAAATGCTACATAAGCATTAGTAAACTATATTTGTTTCAAAAACTGCTAGAAAACATCTGACAGCCCTTTACCTTGGGTTTGACTTCCTTGAGCCACTCATTAGCATCATCATCGTAATCCAGTTTGCAAGCCATGCTGAGATCCTTCATTGCCTCTTCCCAATGACCTAAAAGTCTTCCAAAACAAACATGCATTTACGAAAGTTCAGCCAAGTAAGGTTCATTTGACTGACCACACACTAGTAGGGTTTCATCCACGATGTCGATCAAACAAGAAAGTTAAGGTACCATTACAAAGTCAGTTTCATTCAGGGCAAAATCATTCATGAATACATTTTGTACGGTGGCCCATAACTGTCACGGCAAAACAAAAAGTCATGGCACTACAAACGTAACTCACGGCAAGATAATGTTATCTGTCGGCAAAACAAAATTAACTCACGGCAGTACACCATTAATTCACGGCAAAACGAAATTAACTCACGGCAGATCACCCCTAATTCATGGCAAAACAAAGTTAACTCATGGCAAAACAAAGAAAACGAGTAGGTCAGCGGTTGTTATTTGCTTTTCAAATGGTATGTCGTGCAACAGTAACACACTGCTCGCTCAGAAACCGCCATTTTTAGTGCAGTGTTCCTTATCTCGAGCTCATGATGTTTTGCAGCTCTTGTGGTTCGTTAGTCAATCAAAATGCCTACTTTTGCAAAGATTGTGGTAAAGGTAAGTTTCTTAATCTAAAGTATTCGTATTTGCATCTCATCTCTAACGATAGGCATGTGAGAAGACACTGCTTATGTCATAGCACTCCGTGAACCCATTCCTGTGTTAGACGGTCAAAATCTAATATATTTCTTGGATTACTGACCAAGCATGTCTTCTCATGTGCCTATCGTTATTGGGAACTAAAAAAGATGCCCATACGAATACTTCAGATTAAAAACGTACCTTTACCACAGTCTTTGCAAAAGTTGGCATTTTGATTGACTAACGAACCACAAGCGCTGCAAAACATCATGAGCTTGAGATAAGGAACACTGCACTAAAAATGGTGGTTTCTGAGCAAGCAGTGTGTTACTGTTACAGGACATACCATTTGAAAAGCAAATAACAACCCCTGACCAACTCGTTTTCTTTGTTTTGCTGTGAGTTAACTTTGTTTTGCCGTGAATTAATGGTGTTCTGCCGTGAGTTAATTTCGTTTTGCCGTGAATTAATGGTGTACTGCCGTGAGTTAATTTTGTTTTGCCGTCAGATAACATTATCTCGCCATGAGTTAAGTTTGTAGTGCCGTGACTTTATGTTTTGCCATGACAGTTGTGGGCCACCGTAATTTTGCCCTTATGTTTCATGTATAAAAATGGTCTCTTGACACATAATATTTGGCTTCAACACTGGCTAATGAGTATTCAATTCAAACCAATCAGAGCATACATTAAATTATGCTCACAGAAAAACTAAAACAAATGGCTGCAAGGCACACTAGGCAAGACTGGATCTTAAAGGTGAAAAAAAAAAGCTAACAATTGAAACACCATCTATTAATCAGTCAAATAAATTCCTTGGCTACCAAATTCAATGCACAGATTTTGAAAACTAAAGAGAAACCAGAATCAATTTTAATTGTATACCAACCTATGAGCCCGCCCTCTCCACTTGTATGGCTGGGCTGAGTCTGGATTGATCTTTATAGCCTCGTCACAGTCTCTGATGGCTGCATTTGGCTTCTTCATGCGAATGAAACAGCTGCAAAGATTGCCAACAAATACTTAAGATCAGTGGTAAATTGCTTTAAAAAATACTTTTCTCATTATCGTTGATTTGAAAACCAAGTAATTTAAAAGAGTTATAAACTTGGCATTTACAGAACTGTATGTGCAATGAAGTCAAGAAGGAAAATATGGTCTTGAAGTAACTACGTAAACCACAATAACAGAATACGACAAAAAATATCAGTCACATACCTTGCACGTTTAGCATACATGTTGGCTGATGGATTTTTAAAAATAGCTTCTGTAAAAAGCTTTATAGCCTCATCATAGTTTTCTGTTGAAGCAATAAACAAATTAACATTTACTTAGAAATCAACTGAACTCACTGCATGCTGGCAACACTTTTATAGTATAATTTTATAGCATAATCACTGTTGCAAAACAAGTGCATGCAAAATGTGCAACTGTAGTTGCCACCATACATGGAAAATAACTAATTTCAAACAAAACTAAATACAATGTACGCTGTACAAACCTTCATTCATAGCCATTGTGGCCTGCATTCTCTTGTCAGAGGACTCATCCCTCATTTCATCTGTAACCTTTAAAGACAACCCAGGTGATCAGTTTAGCTATTGAAGATGAGATTTTGTATATTTGCAGCAGGTTGGAAAATCAACAAAATCCTTAAACTTGAGATGATTCTAAGATCTAAATCAAAATTGCGAGTAATAATGTTGTAGAAATCGGCAATGAAACACGAAAAATTTGAAAACTTCAGTTGATGAAGCTAACTTCTTAACTGCATGCAGGCACGTAATCCGTGCTCATTCATGTGGGTGTTCAATTAAAGGTATCCGACTTCCACTTTTCATAATTGGATACCTCTACTTGGATACCTAAACCATAGCATGTCAACAACATGAGCTTTAATGGCTTCCTTCAAATGTTCCCTACAGTTTTCACAAATATTATGGAAAACACTACAGAATTTTTAATCTTGAATTTTGTTATTGATACAATTAACTATAAGTAATTGGACCTCATATTGTACAATATTCAGGGAGAGATCATGGTAGTAATTTCAAATCAGGCTCACACTGCACACTTGTCCAATTAAATTACTCAAAACTTCCTGAATTGTACTCCCCCAGTCCAATTACTATTACTAATTAATAAATTTATTTATTTGACAAATAGTTTCATCATAAGTTAATAAAGATGGTGAATTTTAAGCTCAGTAATGAAATGTGAAGGTGAATTAATCAACATGACACGAGCGTGGGACAAAGAAAAATTCTGAG